TTAATAAATTTGTCCATATTTCTAGAAATGAGAGCTGCTCCATCCAAAGTGGGATGGATGCCGTCTCTCCTAACAAGACCAGGTTTCCTCCAGAAGGTTTGCCAGTTATCTATGAAGCCCACATCGTTTCTGGGACACCACTGTCACTGTTAGAATTTCATTAATAAGAGAAAATATTCATGTAGCCTAACCTGGATTTTAAGGTAACCTGAATAATAATTACAGTTGTTGGTAAAGCAGCCCAGCTCATTTCTGTTGTTCTGTCATATTCTTCACAGGTCCAGACACAAATCCAGGAGTGCACGCATTCATACGTCTAGTTTCTGTCTCAGTAGCATTAGTAATAGCAGGATTAGCAGTAGGCACATACATCTGCTACAAGAAACGTAAGTAAAACATTGAGTTATGTTCTTTTAACATTTACAGTAAACATATGATGTAATGTTGAAAATGAATTGTTCAAACACTGATCAATAAATCAGTGACAGCAATAATCAGTCAAAAGGATGAACAGTCATAGACCCTGTTGGGCTTTTGGATTCAGGTCTTCAGAGCTGTGATGGAGAATCTTTGCACTTTGTCAGCATCGTGTCTTCATTGATGACCTCTTCGGGTCACATGCAGACATGCTTGAGCAATCAACAGGAGCATACTGCTGTGATCGCTTCATGTTTTTGTGATGTTAAAGTGGGCGGGGTCAGAGCCACCGTTTTGACCCCGCCTACGGAGCACTTAGCTGTTTCATAAAGAGAGTGAACGTTCATCCGTCTGTAAAGTCACACAGGCTGTCCACAAACACACGTTTTAAATGAGACAAACGTGTCACACAGCACAGCAACACAACGTTATTATTAACCTGTAAACTGAGTCGTCTTTACAGTCGTACTGTAGCTAACTCATTTGAGGCTGCATTTCGAGCAGCCTTCGAATTGGGACAGCCTTCGTCGCGTCGCTGTGATGTAATTGGCCTTAAAATGCGGCCTTGAAGGCTGCAGACCCTGAGTTGGGATACAGCTGCTGTTACTAACGAGACTGTTAGTCAAGACACAGAGGCATAACATATCCAGGATTACAAAATAAAACAGGAAGTGACAGTGACCGTAACTGAATTAGATTCGAGCTTAACTTCTATCTGTCAGATCTTTGGTGAACCAGTCAGGATCTGGCTGTTTCTTCCCACATCCATATTTGACTTTCCAAATGAAACAATATTTTTCTCACAGCACTTCAGTTATTTAGTGTTTCCTGCTCCTAACCTTTTTCCTCTGCTTTTGCTTTTAGGCTGCAAATCTGGCGATGAATCCAACGGACAACTGAATGGAGGTAACTCTGCAGTGAGGTCAAGATCTATGATGACACGATTGGAGGGTCACAGCTCCACAGTTGATTCTTGACTGAAGAGCTTTGCTTTGTTTCTGGTGTAGAACAGCCAGGAGGTGAAAACCATGCAGACCAACAAATGGAGCTCCAAGAAGGTAAGAAGGGGGAGGCGGTCCTGGTGCTCTCACAGCAGAGGTTCAACATCTGGAACGCCTGGGAAATAGTGACATATTTGGAAATATATGGTAGAGACCATGATGGTGTTACCAACACTGTGCAGACGGCTATATTTCAAAATTAAACTCGTCATGGAGAGAAGGAACCCCTGAAATCAGCTGGAAGGGACTCTGGTAGTCATGCAAAGAGTGATCCTGCAGCATGAGGGTCTCGGAGCGCTCACATCCAAAGACAGCGTGTCACATGTCACAGTTCTTTAATGTTTGTCAACCATTGTTTCTTTGATTTTGTTAGAATCTCAAGAGGCAGCAAATGAAGGGAGCAGAGACGACGAGGATCCACAGGATGAAGGTTTGGACTTTGGCTCACTCACAAACACAATGAGATAAGATGACTGACACACTCAGCAGCTACACTCTGATGTGCTGTTTCCACAGATGAGTGGGGAGATGCACATCGAGACAACGTGGACCAAAACCTTCTAGATGGGGCAGGTAGTGTTCGTGTCTGTGCTGCACCGAGTTAGCAGACATTGACAGTCTGTAGAAATATGAATAAAAATGTAATTTTAAAGCAGCAGTTTGGTCGCACCTTAAGTGTTTGAGTCACTGTGATGGTGAACAGACACTGAATAGAAAATGAGAAGTGTTTGATGTCCAGATACTTACAGCTCTAACTGTGCTGCACACACTCTGGTGAAGAGGATTAAAACCTGCATTCATCTGTTTCACAGTCGAGAAATCGCTGTTGGATCGTTTCTGAGAAAAATGTTTTGTCTGCTTTTCTTTTAGAAAACCAGGAGCACCGCCCTGCAGGTGGTGCAGAGCAAGGCGGAGGCAGCGTGCACGCAAACACTGACTAAACTGAGGATGGATTCATTGTTCGACTGCACTCACACACGCTGTGAACAGGACGACGGCTGTGCGGCCGACACACCAGAGGCGTCGGCAGAGTCGTTTCCTGAAGAGTTTAAACCTTTTTATTTGCACAGTTCAGTTTAAAATGACCTGTTATTGGCTCGTTCTTAGTGCCAACGAGTTCTTCTCCAGGCGGACTCAGTGAAACCTAAAACCAATGAACGATGCAGGGAGCTAAAATGTTCTGTTTGAGCTCTGCTTTTGCCTCAAGACGCCGAGAAGGATGAAACGATCAAATGAACCGTGAGCCGGTGAAGCTGCTGTGACTGACTGAGCTCAGCTTTCCTCGAGCAACAAAACAAGGATTTCGCGTCTTTACTGTTTCCCAGCTGAACAGGGTCCGATCAGCTGCACCGTTTTCTTGTTTGTCACTTTATTTAAAGATTCTGAACTGTAAGAGTCTACAGTCCAGAATGTCATAACTTAATGCTGTTTTAGATGTTAGCTGACATCTGCTGTATGCTGTAAATACAGATTATAGGAGGCTGAATCCATCTTTGCTGTGTGAGAATGAGGAGCAGTGATGACTAATAATGATTCAGCAGCATGTGAATGGAGTGTTGCTATGAACATGTTCACAACAGTTTTACTCCTTTACTTCATCTTTTATATATTTATTTATACATTTTAATTTGTGTGCATTCGATACACAGCTGGTACAGTAACACACTGACAAACATGAAACACTGGAAATTTAGGGACAGGGGGTGGAAGAGGCAACAGGACAATTTATGCATGATCCACGTGGTCAGATGTTCATATGCTGCGCTCACTGATCCTCTGAAGCTAGTAATACTGACCAGGGAGCAGAAAGGAAGCAACGCGTTTGCAGGTAATTTCAGATGCATCAGCTTAACAAACAAACTGTTTCTATGCTGTCAGTGTGTCTGGCAGCTAAAGGTCCAACTCACAAAGAAACGAAACTAACTCGAGAAAGACGAGAAAGGAAGGAGAGAGCTTCGAGTGGTCATTTAAAGCTTACATGTCAGTCCTCATGTTTTTGAATCAGTCCAACAGCGTCACGATCAGAACTGCCAGAGTTATTTTCCCAACTGGACCATTACAGCATTTCTTATAATGGTCCACGAGTCAGAGTCTATTACAGGTTTTTATTTATTTATTTTTAAAAATTTGAGTTTGTACAACCACAACGTAGGAGACCGGGGGACGGAAAAGAGAAAGGAGAAAGAGGCGAGGAGGCGAGGCGAGGAGAAGAGGCGAGGAGACGAGGCGCTCCCCCAGCTGCCGGTTACGCCAAAGCACTTTCCCCACGCTGAGCCCTTACAACTGATGTTAGGCTCCCCCCACCCCCGACTTTCATGTACTCACTTTTCTGTTTACATTAGTATAGACACAAGGTTCGGTTCCCTTTGCATCAGACCAGCGGAGCTATGTTTTTATTTCTCATGTTACATTTCAGAGCCGGTACTTTTTTACCTTGACTTGAGTAAAGAGGTTGAATCAGTACTTCAGCTTTTACTGGAGTATTCTTTAAGTGTACTTTTGCCACCTCTGGTTATTCCATACTTGTTGGAAGTTCACAGGATTTTGGGTAACTGGTGCTACAACCTGCGCTGGTTCACTTTGGAGCCTCATTTCATCCTAAAACTAAAGGAGAGTTTAACAGGATATTTAAAGAACGTGTTGAGTTTGTGTTAGCTGCAGACACACAGCCAGCAGGACCTCCTTTAATGATGCTTCCAGCTGCAAACATCACATTTCAGGGAGACTTCACTGTAAACACAAAGGTCTGTCACACCTGCTCTCCGACGCGTTGACTCTCTCTGCTCTGCACGTGTCCACGACCTAACACACTTACAGTCATCACCACCACAACAGCAACACAACGGGCAGCTAGTGGTCACAAAAGCACCGAGCACTCACGGCTCCACTGAACCTCGCCTGGAGCCCGAGAGCGTCTCCTCACTCCAGGTTATGGATTACAGATGACATCATGACCTCGGTTCTTCCGAAGAGTCCGTGTGACTGTTGTAAAGAAATGTACAGTAATAAATGTGCATGCGTCCGCTGTATGTATATTTATATTAACTGTGTTAACACAAAGTGACGATCAGATTACTGTAAAGAATCAATGAATCTGCTGTTACGAGCACAGACTGGGATTAAAAGTTCTAAGTATTACTTTCAGTTACTTCTAAATTATATTTCATTTGTGTCATGGTGACACACCTGACAGCACGTCTGTCCTTCCTGTGGTGATGTCAGTACGATAAAGTCAGGAATCCCTAACACGTGAGGACGATCAGCTCCAATCAGCTCCGGGGAATTTAAACCTGGACATCTGTGGGACTGAGTGACCCTTGAGGTGACCCCTTTTTTTCCCCCCATCCATCCATGCACTTATCCTTTTCAGGGTCACGGGGGCGCTGGAGCCTATCCCAGCTGTCATAGGGCGAGAGGCGGGGTACACCCTGGACGGGTCGCCAGTCTGTCGCAGGGCCGACACACAGGAACAGACAACCATTCACTTGCACATTCCCACCTAGTGACAATTTGGATTATCCAATTAACCTATCCCCACTAAGTGCATGTCTTTGTATGGTGGGAGGAAGCCGGAGTACCCGGAGAGAACCCACGCAAACACGGGGAGAACATGCAAACTCCACACAGAAAGACCCCGGCCTGGTGTTGGAATTGAACTCAGGACCTTCTTGCTGTGCGGCAACAGTGCTAACCACCGCCTCTGTCAGTGCGCCCCAGGGCAGCTGTGGCTACAATGTAGCTGCTATCGCCAGTGTGTGAATGTGTGTGTGAATGTGTGTGTGAATGACTGAATGTAGCCGCCGTGCTACCCTTCTTGTTTTTTTTAATTGAGAAAATGTTATTTTTTTATTTAGTTTTATTCTAATCGGTAAACAGATAATTACCATTGCAGAGGTGAGGGAGGAGACGCGCTGCTTCAGCTTTCATTCTAAACGACTTCTGAGCTGCCACTCGACTGATTACAGACGGTTATTGAACACTGAAATATTTGCTGGGATCATTTTCAAATGGCTCTGAAATATGATTAAAGCTTTTATCTGTTCGGACAAACTGTAGCCTCAAACATCAGACTCAATATTGAGTGCAGAAGTGGTTTATTTAGTATTCTGAAAGTTAGAATGAAATAACATCAGGAACATCACTACCCCACAGGCGGCATTTAACATTCCCATTGCTGTGCTGTGAATGCGAGCGCTCGGCTTATTATTAGAAAGCATCGACGCAGTCAGAAACACCTGAAAGCAAACACACAGGAAGTGACCTGAAGGCCACTCCAAAGTCCTCATTTTGTTTTTCTAAAGCCACTCAGAGTCGGACTTGGATCATTGTCCTGCTGCAGATACAAAATGTGTTTACTTGTGTTATCTTGTTGCTGTTGATGAGTGGGAAACACTCTGTTTCCTCAGATTGAGCATACGCAAGACAGGACAACACCACATGGCACCTGTGCACACCACAGCACAACAACACAGGAAATGGTTCGTGGCTGTCAGAGGTTTCAGATTCTGTTTGGAATAAAGCTCATTGATAAAAATAGTGAACAGTGAAATCTGAAGATCTGAAACTGTAGAGGAGGACGGACGAGAGATCTTCAGTCACACAGCACCTCCAACCTTTGTCTTCTCAGTCATTTCTCTGGAAGGTGAAATACAAGCTAATGTTGTGACCTTAGAAGTGGCAGCGCTGCTTCCTCTTCTTCACTGTGAGTCAGGATTTGCGTCATGAGGTTACAGAAAGTACCTGACAGACTGTCAGGTACTTCATAACAGAAAAACAAGAACTGCTGCCCTGATTTCTGTTTTTTGACCAGGACATGTCCAGGGAGCACGGCAGCACGGTGGCACGGTGGTTAGCACTGTTGCCGCACAGCAAGAAGGTCCTGAGTTCAATTCCAACACCAGGCCGGGGTCTTTCTGTGTGGAGTTTGCATGTTCTCCCCGTGTTTGCGTGGGTTCCCTCCGGGTACTCTGGCTTCCTCCCACCGTCCAAAGACATGCAACTTGTGGGGATAGGTTAATTGGATAATCCAAATTGCCACTAGATGTGAGTGTGAATGGTTGTCTGTCCCTGTGTGTTGGCCCTGCGACAGACTGGCGACCTGTCCAGGGTGTACCCCGCCTCTCGCCCTATGACAGCTAGGATAGGCTCCAGCGCCCCCCGCGACCCTGAAAAGGATAAGCGGAAGCGGATGGATGGATGGACCAGGACATGTCCTTCAATGCACATACTAAACAAAAATGTAGGACTGCTTTCTTACATTTGTGCAACATCTCTAAAACTAGAAATATCCTGTCTCAGAGTGACGCTGAAAATTTCTCCTGTATTGGATTCTCTTCATTGGCTCCCTGGGAGGCAGAGCCTTCAGTTTTCAGGCCCCTCTTCTGTGGAACCAGCTTCCAGTTTGGATTCAGGAGACAGACACTATCTCTACTTTCAAGATCAGGCTTCAAACTTTCCTTTTTGCTAAAGCATATAGTTAGGGCTGGACCAGGTGACCCTGAATCCTCCCTTAGTTATGCTGCAGTAGGTGTAGGCTGCCGGGGATTCCCATGATGCACTGGGTGTTTCCTCTTCACTCACCTCTCTGCATTTAATCATTAGTTATTATTAACCTCTGGCTCTCTTCCACATGGTGTCTTTGTCCTGTTTCTTCCTGTTAAAAGGGAGTTTTTCCTTCCCACTGTTGCCAGATCTGTGCTGGGAACATAGTGATGATTATGGAGAATGTAGATCATTTACATAAACAGGAGGACCAACAACACTCTTGACTGGTTTATTTGAAAAGTGAATGTTCTCATTTTAGATATGCTGTCATGCTCCCGGTGACTGGCTGTGTTTTTCCACCCCAGTGGAGCCCACATCAACACACCTGTCATGCTCACCTGTGTGTGATGCTGGATGATCACTTAGCAGTATTGAAGACCACAACTATTCATCTCTTCATCTGCGTACCTGTGTTAGTAATACGGCGCCTTTGCTTCTTGTGGTTTATTTGTTCGTGTTCACTTAATCCAGTCTGTCACATGTCCTCAGGTCTCCGTACCGCAGTGCCCCTCCTGACCTTTCTCGTGCTGTTTCAGAGACCCACGTTCGAGTTCCACGTCCACGCACATTTCTCCCGTGTACTGTGTTTCTCTTGGGTCTGTAAATGAAGCCAAGTTAAGATTGATTCCTGCTGTCTGCGTCTGAATCTGCGTTTGGGTTCACATTTACGTACTGGCCCCCAGGCCCGCTCCATCCATATACCCAATATATGATGGCCATAGAAGGGGGCACGAGGAGGCACAATTACCCCTGAAATATGAATGCCTGTGCACAGAACCTGTGCACTACTAAGCTATTTAAGCAGGATTATCACTTTTAGTTAAGTAAAAGCAAAATCAGTTATTTTCTACACAGAAACGTCCTTCTTGTTTGATGATGACTCTCACTGAAGCTAAAACAGTCTTAAACTGAACTGCTGTGATCTTTTCCACCAGTGGGAGAATATCTGCACTTTATCAGCCACAAACACTAAGCTACAGTATGAACCAGGGGGCATCCAGCAGAGGTCAAAGGTTAAAGTGCTTTGAATATAACAGGAAGGAAAGACGAACTCTTGACCTTTGCAGGATTATTTCTATTACATCAGGCTCTAGTTTCAGATGTGAGCAAGATGCTCGTGCTCGCTTCAGCTATCAAACCGTCCTGTGATGAGTACTCGCCACAAAGAGCTGCGACGTCTCACACTCACTTTACTCATCTCTTACAATAAAACAACAATCAGTGGAAACTATGGACCAATATAATAGCAGGGTATCGCCGCCCCTCTTTCTTCCAGAGTTAATGCACTCCTTAAAGCATTGTTTATTCCAGCTCTGTTTTCCAGAATGAGCTCAGTTTTATTTCCAGCGTTGCAGACACGTGTTTACTGCTGCTGCACGGGGCCTCGTACCCGCATCGACCAGGTTCTGTCAGGAAGGAGCTGCAGGTGTTTCTGAAAGGTTGTGACAGTTGGCTCAGATGCTTTAGAGGCCACAGGGAGCATCAGAACGAACATTACACAGATACAGCAGTCATTATCATTATCTCTTTGTCTGCAGCAGGAGACGGAGAAAATGAAACCCGATGGTGTGATCAGTATTGTTTATGTTCATGTGTACGCAGACGAGCCCATAATTATTCATACCTGGCAAATTTTGACTTAACCCTCTACTGCAGTCAAAGTCAAAGTCAAAGTCAACTTTATTGTCAATTCTGCCACATGTACAGGACATACAGAGAATAGAAACTACGTTACTCTGAATCCCTAGATAAAATAGCAAATGAACATTTAAATATAAGAGTGATTAAAAAATGCAGGTAAAATAATTAAAAAGTAAAAATTTAAATAAATACAATACAATTTTACATATAACAAGAAAGCTATACAATATACAATATAATGGGTAAATGACATTGGGTGTAAACCAGGCAGAGTAGTGCAAATAGGCAAATAGTGGTAAATGCAGACTACAGATACCATGGCAGTGCCAGGATTGTGAGTGAT